GGACTTTTACTCTTTACTCTTTTTATAAATGATCTCCCCTCTGTTATATCACATGTCCGTGTACTCATGTATGCGGACGATGTCAAACTTTTTCTATCATACACTAATCCCCTACATCATTCTCGTCTACAAGACGATTTGAACGCTATGCAACTATGGTGTTCGGCCAATCAATAGCATCTAAATTGTTCAAAGTGTATGTTTATGACTTTTAATCGTACTACACCTTATCTTGTCAGTTATACAATCGACAATATCCCCTTGCAACGTATACTAACAGTTAATGATCTAGGCGTTCTTTTTGATTCTAAACTCTTCTTCAATCTTCCCATAGATACCACCGTTAGTGACGCGAAAGGTGTACTTGAGTTCATTAAACGATAATCTAAAGAGGTTAACGATCCGTTTATAACGAAACTTCTGAACATCTCTCTTGTTCGCCCTATCCTTGAATACTGCTCTTTCATCTGGTCTCCACAGTATAACAATAGCCAGGATCGTATTGAATCAGAAGCAATTTCTGCTTTTTGCCTTACTAGGTTTAAATTGGGACCCTAATCTTCGGTTGCCATCCTACTCCAGCAGACTGCTTCATCTCAACCTTCCGTCTTTAACCAACCGTAGAACAATTCTCGGTGTTGTCCTTCTACATAAGTTGATTATTGGCGACATAGATTCCCCTTTTCTGCTAGGGCGTCTTCAATTCTCTGTTCCGGCTAGACCAACTAGAAATTATCGCCCCTTATTCCTATCTACGTGCACAACAGACTACGCTATGCACAATCCTTTTCGCGTGCTATGTAAAAATTATAATAGTTTGCATCACGTTTTCTCTACAGAACTGTCTCTACCCATAATAAAATCGTTGCTTTCAGGATACCTTCGGGAAGTCACTGACCACTCCCAGCTATGAGCAGGGGCATAGCTTGCCGGACATGCTGAAAAATTTTCCCCCACCGGGTCGGTGATTTCCCCTTACTTTTCTCTTTGTCCTATCTACTTAACACTCTTCATCTAGCTTACATTGCTTTACTTTATTAACAATCTTCATACTTTCTCTTTTTTCCTATTTATTGTATTTTCTTTATTAATATAGCAAATTAAGATTATTTTTAATTTTACTTGAGAACACTTTTTTCCTACTTACAACCGTCTGCTTAGAGGTAGGCTCTAATAGCGTCACTGACAAAATTAGCTGTGAAAAGGGGCACAGCTGGCCGGACTGGCAAATAAAACACCTCCATCGGTCGGTGATACCATTTAGAAAATTGTATTCTTTAACTAGGCTTTTAGCATATAATTCTATTATCTATTGTATAACCTATTGAATAATGAGGAAGACACTCGGTTTGTCGACCATTAATAAATAAATAAATAAATAAATAAATTAACCTGTCCTTTCAATCTTCAGTCTCACAGTCTGTCAGATATAACACATTACAGAAGTATTGCTAAGCTGCCCGCTATTCCTTTTATTTGAAACAACTAACAGGTCTTAGTCAGGAGTTCCCGACTAGGAGATACCCTGAACCTTCTTCTACCTACACCAAATGCAGCTCGTGCTACGAGCTCGTTAGTTTCAGCAGTAATACAAAAAAAAAAAATGTCCCCCAATAGGAATCGAATTAGTAACAGACCACACCAACAACTAATTTTTCGTGAAAAACATAACTATTTAAAATAGCAGCACATACACATAGCAAAGAATACAATGCAATATCAATTCCAATTGCAATTTCAATATGCATGTATACGCGAGACAAGGAGTGATTAGACTTTTCGAGGTCTTCTTGCATGAATTAGAGTACAAGATGAATGTTAAAGTTGAGCGAAATTGATATTAACGGAAGATTGTTGGTTTAATGGCCTTGACAATGTGTCTGTCTGTACTTATATGTATTTATCCTGCTACAAGCGGTTTTTCGCGATTTTTCCATAATTGCGAATGGAATTTTCCATCAGACAGGGTAAATACAGCTTGAATTTAAGTTTCATAGCTCTCAAGGTTTTGGCTGTATGTTCATCACCAACCAGTCAGTCAGTTAGTCAGTCAGTCAGTTAGTAGTCAGTCATTTCCATTGGTCTGTCGAAACAATGAATCTTTACATAGAAATGATGAATGATTTCAGTGCATAGCGAGCCTGTTTGTTGTTAATCACCGACACATATGCATGTACTTACGTTAATATTTGCCCGAGTTTTTAATTCGCCTAGACGCGGCCAAACGCCCGTTCAAGCCGTTATTCATCGTTTGAGTGTCTTTATACCCTGAGCCCATTAAAAATCGGTAAAAGGGGCATATCCGAGCTAAGCATATCCGACCCCATAAGGGATATATATTTTTGATTAGTATCAACAGCCGAGTCGATTTAGCCGTGTCCGTCTATCTGTTTCTATGCGAACTATTCTCTCAGTATATCAAATACCTGCCATAGGAACTATCGCTCGAAAATGAGGTTCTTGTATGAAAAACTTTTTGTTTTTCAAGATATCTTATGCATTCTAGGCATTAACTATTTTACCTGGGATTCTTAGAGACGAGCAAAGTATTATAAGCTTCATCAAAAGGTTCGGTGCAAGGTATTAAGTCTTCGGCGTGTCGAAGATAGCCCTTATTTCTCGTTTTTATTTATTATTGCTGTAGTTGGAGGGTTCAGGGTATCCCCTAACCCGTAACTCCAGAGAAGAGCCTCGTACTTGTTTTTAAATGGCGCCACTAATTTAGTTTACAGTGCGCTTGTATTTTAAATACGGAGATCTTTTTTATAGGTTTTTTCTTCAGATAAAAACCAATTGTAATTTTTCGTAAAAATAAGCAACGGAAGTGATACTGCAAGAGTTGATTCAGTGTGTGTAAGCTGACCTGAAAGCAATAGAGTTGACTTGGAGCCCGAAAGGGCTATGGATTATTTGGATGTGAATAAATGACCTAAATGACCTTCTCGCTTCCTTGAGCCAATCTTAAGCACCTTAGCGATGCTGCAGTCGTCAGCCGCTCGTTGCTTAAATTCCACGTTTTAGAAATCCGCATCTATAGGCAGTTTCTGTGTTTGTTGCCACTGGCATTGGACGACCGTCATCAGTTCGGGCTGCGAGTGATCTCGCTATAGGGGAGACTCCCTCATGTCTATTATATTTAAGTCCAGGCTTTATACCTGGACAGAGGAGCGTCCGAGTTATACCAGCCATTTTCGCTCTATTATTGATTTTGTAATTTACCTGGCTATAATTAAGTGCCCAGATCTATCGAACGATCATTTTCCATCAGTCTACTTATCTGCTTCGCCAAGGCGTGGTTACTCTCTTCAGCCGTTACAGAGCACAACGCCTGACAATGTGCTGAAAAATCGCAATTTTTCGAGAAGATAGTGCCATTCACGGACTTGCTCCCGCCGCTCTGCCGCCTTTTCGTAAGTCAACTCCCGGAAGATGAAATTGTCGAAATGCATCATCTGGATTGTGGTGGAACACGAAGTGCGAAAGCAAATTAAGAGGTTAAAGTCGTGCAAGGCGTCTGGGAAAGACGCTGTCGGTGAGAAGCTGACAAAGGCACACCCTGACGCAGTGGTGTTACAGATGTGGTTGCTTTTCGATGTGTTCCTTGATGTTGGCTAATTTTTGGCTCTATGGAGCGCACGATTTTGTCGTCACAAAAGATAAGGCCCCACACAGCCCGAAAACCTATGTACATGCTTAACAGCGGACTGTATTCGTTGAACAGGTTCATCGTGTTGTAAATTTTAGGGTACTAGCGGCACTGCTTTAAGGCTGGTATTTCGATATGAAGCTCAGGAAATCTAACTCCGAAATGCGCCCCATTCTAGCTGGTGTCCCTCTTGAGAATGCCCTTGTGAAAAGCGTTGGTTCCAGTGTCAGAAATGAAACATTGTTCACTGTCTTTCTTAAAATATTCTATGGCAGATGCTAAAAATTTAAGGTTGAGACAAGACAAAGACAAGCCACATGCTTGCGGCAGCTATACTAGAAGCTAGATGTCAAATTTTGTCACTCCAGCTCTGGGCCTTAAACCTTTTGTCGATTGCATGGAAACGGGACAAGTTATCGATGACAGGAAACAAACTCGTACTGTGCGGACACTAGGCTTACATTTAAAATCTCAAGCTTATAGAATCTAAGATTCTTGCGTTCATGCATACGGATAGACAGGCAGACATGGCTAGATCGACTCGACTATTGATGCTGATGATATATTTGCCTGTTACGTACATTTGTACATAACCATTATACCCTTTTTACCCATTTTCAATGGGCTTATGAAAACAAATAAAAAACAAGTAAGAGGTTCTAGTCGGGAGCTCCCGACTAGGGGATACCCTGTTCTTCCAACATATATATATTCTATTTTCGAAGCTATATGTCAAGTTTGGTGACTCTAGCTCTTATTATTTACCAAAATTGCCCAAAAAACAGGATATCGATATCGATTTTTATCGATTGCTTGGAAACGGAGTAAGTTATCGATTATCGGGAACAAACTCGATCTGCGCGGGAACTAGGAGCATCTACATCTAAAATTTCTCTAGCTAGTCTCTAGCTCTTATAGGTTCTGAGATCCTTGCGTTCATACATACGGACGGACGGACGGACGGACAGACGGACGGACAGACAGACGGACATGGCTAGATCGACTCGGCTATTGCTGCTGATCAAGAATATATATACTTTATGGGGTCGGAGATGCTTCCCATTTTTAATGGGTTCAGGGTATAAAAAAAATATTTGGCCTACATTTTAAAAAGGATTTCAGTGTTTCTGTGCAAATGTTTGTAACAATCAAAAGAAAATATCTTCAATCCCATTTACTAGATTAAGCTGTTATTGGACTTTGAGCGAGTATTACGAATTGGTTTGCAGCCGACTGACATATTCACATTTGTTATTTTTCGTGCTATAGTAAATTCTTAATTCAGAATGTTCAACAATATTACTAAAGAAAGAAGAGCGTGGAAACAAAAGTTGTTGCATACCGTGCTACTCACCATCGACGATGTGCACCCGCACCGACGTCGGATTGGCGTTCGATGGTGTACATGTATAAAGCCCAGAATCTTGTTGGATGGCCTTTTGCACTAACAGCCGGCTGGTGGTCAACACACCTTTTTCGGTGACCAATGATATGCCACCTCGCGGTGAATCAAAATTTATAACCTGAAATGAAAAACACATTGGTTTCAGATGGATGATATGAACATGTAGCTTAGAAGATGTAACTGGGAAGAGGCTATCTTTTTAGGTGGTCTCAAACGGAATTTATAATAAAGCTCAAATTTGAAGTAGGAAACTGGTGTAGTAAAGGTTAACTACATTTGAAATAAAAACAAGTAAGAGGTTCTAGTCGGGAGCTTCCGACTAGGAAATACCCTGAACCCTCTTTGAGGTAATAAAGATAAATTTAAAAAAAAGTTCCCTTAGCAGGGTTCGAACTCGCAACTGACCGATTTACATGCTGATGACTTTACTCAACAGCCACACTAGCCAAAAAAAAAATAAATAGTTTCCCCGGTAGGGCTCGAGCTGGCGACAGACCGTAACACTTGCTGTGCCTCTACTCAACAGCCACACTAATAATTAAGTGTTATTGAGAAAAAAAAAGAGTTTAAATAGCAGCAAAGAAAACAATACAATCGCAATTGCAATGCTGTTGGTATATTTAATTTGAAGCAGACGCGCATGAATGTTTGTGTGTACATGTATAGAAAAATTCTTGGATTTTGCACCCTATCCAATTGCGCAGTAAGACAAAACTTTGGATTTTTCTTAACCGATCTTCATGAAATTTTCTACAGCATATCTTATTGTATTCTCAAAAAGTCAAGTGCATTAAAATTATGGCTTGAATTGGTGGGCAATACAAGTTGGGTTATATTTGATTTATAGCTCTGGGCTGGTAACGGGGAGGTGGCGATAAATATAAAATGAAAGATACTTGATATCTATATAATATTTTTAAAGCAACATATCAAGTTTGGTGAAACAAGATATCGATATCGATTTTTATCGATTGCTTGGAAACAAATTCAATCTGCTCAGGCACTCGGAGGACACATCTAAAACTTCAAGTCTCTAGCTCTTATAGGTTCTAATATCCTTGCATTCATACATATGGACAGACAGACAGACGGACATGGCTAGATCGACTCGGCTATTGATGCTGATCAAGAATATATATACTATATGGGGTCTGACTATTACATACATTTACATTTTGCACAAATACAATATACCCTTATACTCATTTTTAATGGGTTCAGGGTATAAAAATAGTCCTCTCGGTAAGGTTGGTCGCAACTGACCGCATTACTTGTCACCATGTCTACTCAACAGCCACATCAATTTTTGAATCTTAATGAGAAAATCCGATTAAAATAGCAGCACAGAAAACAATACAATCACAATTGCAATGCTGTTGGTAGAATTCAAAGAAGACGCGTGTGTGTACATTATATACGCGTGTAGAATGTATTATAAAAAAAGGTAGTATAATAAAAAATATTATTTAAATGCTTGGATACAATTTTGGTAACATACTTAAATTTTCTTGTTCATTTTCAATTTCAAGTTGAACTGGGGGTTGTGCAGGTTGCTGATCAACAACATTTAGTTTCTTAATAAATATTCGTTTGGGTATATTTTTAAACTTATATGCTATATACAAAATTATGATTAGTATTATAATTTCTAAGCCTTCAATATATTCTGTAAATTGTTGTAAGTTGAATGCTAGTAGTTCTAGTAGTTTAGATTCTTCTCTTTCTTTGTTTACTATTTCTATTATTCCTTGGTTGACTGCTTCAATTACATGGTTGAGTTCGTTTATTTGAATACTATTTTAAGCTATTAAATTCATTTTTTCTTCAAGTTCTTCTTTTTCGTTGTTATCTATAGTTCCAAATAAGTATTTGTATGTTGTTCCTACAAAATTAAGTAGTCCTCTTTTACTTCTTTTTACTATTCGGAAACCGTTTATTTCTCGTAGCAACTTTTCTGTTTTTATATTCTGTCTTTATGTTGTTTGTCTGTAACATTAGTTTGTCATATGTGTCTTCTGTCTTTGTTAAATTTATTGTGAGACAATGGTGCTCATAATTATATGGCATGTCTATCATGCCTATTTTAAAGAGTAAGTATCCATTTTTTGATTGATATCCATAAACTGGTTATTACTTCCTGGTGTATAGCTAACATCATTAGTGCCAGAAAAAGTTATTGGTACTGTTTTGGAATTTCGTCCTCCTGTAAATATTTGCTCTTATTTAATTTTTTTTGTTTTTGATAATTCGTTTTATACTGCTTAATTTTTCGACCTCTGTTAGTCTCTTCAAAATATTCTTCGTCAATTTGTTCTATTTTCCCAGTGGGTTTGTAAAGGTATTGTAATTTACCGTGAATTATGGGCGCTTTCCTAAACTTAGTATTTATTTTTTAAATCATTTCGGTTTTTATTAAGATTATTTATTCTTGTCTCTTTTATATTCGGGGTATTATAATTAGGTGTACCTGGGTAAATGAAAATGTCAGCTGTAGTTTTGCCAGTAGTGTTATGTTTTAGCTTATGATTATAAGTATATAAAATTACACCAATTTTCATGAGTCTATTTTCTTCGTCAACGTCAGTATTTAAAATACGTTTTTTTTCATTAATTGTCTTATGTAGTTTACAGCCGCTACACCATTTTTATACCCTGAACCCTTTAAAAATGGGTAAAAATGGTATATTGTATTTGTGCAAAATGTAAATGTATGTAACAGGCAGAAGAGAGCATCTCCGACCCCATAAGGTATATATATTCTTGATCAGCATCAATAGCCGAGTCGATCTAGCCATGTCCGTCTGTCTGTCCGTCCGTCCGTCTGTCCGTCCGTCTGTATGAACGCAGGGATCTTAGAACCTATAAGAGCCCTGAAATTTTAGATGTAGGTCCTCCTAGTGCCTGCGCAGATTGAGTTTGTTTCCGATAATCGATAACTTAATCCGTTTCCAAGCAATCGATAAAAATCTATATTGAAATCCTGTTTTTTGGGCAATTTTTGTAAATAATAAGAGCTAGCTTCACCAAACTTGACATATAGCTTCGAGAATAGTATATATATTTGCATTTGGTGTTGGAAGAAGAGGGTTCAGGGACTCCCCTAGTCGGGAGCTCCCGACTGGAACCTCTTGCATGTTACTTGTGGTTATTTGAATTTTAAATTTTTCCTTATTCAAACATTCTTTCAGTGCTAGATTCATAGAAGCACTGTCCCTATCTGTCTTCAGAGTTGAAGGTTTTCCTATACTGTTAATTATTTGAAAACGTTTTCTTTTAACTTCTGTCCGATCCTTGCCGTTAAATTCAATTACATTTGCAAATTTTGAATATAAATCCAAACATGCTAAAAAGCTGTGTTTTTTATTGAATAAATATCTACTACTTAAGTGTCTCTACAGTTTTCTACTTCTGGTGTATTTTAAATTTACATGATGTGTTCCTGTGATTGATCTTGGCTAAATTTACATGATGTGTTCCTGTGATCAATCTTGACTAGATTACAAGCTTCGCATTCATTAATTATGCTTTGGAATAAATTTTGATAGTATAGGTAATAGTATGTTCCTTTAAAAAGTCTGACCATCTTTTCGATACCTGGATGTAAAAGTTTCTTGTGATTGCTAACTATTATTTCTTTAAATTCTGCATAGCTCCTAATGTCTTTCAGTTTAATATTTGTTCATAATATTCGATTTATAATTTCTTTAAATGCTTGCTGTATAATTTCAAAATCTGAGTCGTATTCAATATATAATACGCTTGAATTGTTGCAAAAATGTTTTATCAATATCTGTTTAGCTTTTTCAATGTTTAGGTTTAAGTATTCGATTTTTATCTTTAATTTTTTAAAATATGGTTCAACTTCTACCTTTTCAGCATTACTTCTAATCATTTCTATTTGTCTTCTAAAATATTTATGTGCTGTAGCTTGTGTGTTAATATCTTGTTCGCCTTGCATATTTTCTTCAATTTTGATTCGTGATAAGGCATTTGGCTTGTTATCTTGCGATAACACAGCTCCTATTGCAAAATTACTTACGTCGGTTGTTACCTGAAACTTCTTAGCCTGACATCTGGACATGTTAATATTGGGTCGTTTATAATAAATCATTTTAATTTTTCAAATGCTTTATTATATTCATCATTTTTAATATCAATTTTGCTGTTTTCTATAATAAAAGAGTCATGGGGCTTGCAATTTTTTCAAAATTTGGAATGAACTTTCGATAATAACCACATAAACCTCGAAATGATTTAATTTGTTTTGGTGTTCGTAAATCACGAAGAACAACCTTTGGAATGTTGCTGGTGCATTTTTAAGTCCAAATGGCATTTGAGTATACTCGTAATTTCCGTCTTTGGTAGAAACCGCTGTTTTATTGATTGATTTCTGAACCATTTCAATCTGATGGAAACCTTTTGCTAAATCTATTGTTGTCAAATATTAGCATCTTCCTAATTTTCCCAAAATCTCTTAACATCATTACATTAATTGTTATGTCGTTCAATCCTGTGTAATCGACAACTAATCTAAATTTTGCTTTTCCTGAGGCGTCTGCCTTTTTTTTACTATCGATAAGGGACTACAATATGGCAATTGGCTATGCAGAATAATACCTTGGGTTACCATATCTTTAATTTGCTTTTCGACTTCTTGTTCAAAAGCGAAAAGGTACCGTATGGTTTGCTGTAAATTGGATTTTTATGGTGTGTATTAACACTGCTCGTGAAGGTCAAATTCTTACCTTCTCGATATTGAATGTAACTGAAATTTTTTAGTAATTTTTCAGTCCAGTGTTATTTCATTACCTATTGCGTAATTGATTTCTTGTGTATAACTTTCTGGTTTTAAATATGCTTCGAAGTTTTTTTTTTTCGAATTTGGATCCCAAACTAATTTCTTATGCTTGAACGATTTCTCGCTAATTATTATACTGTCTTTAATAAATTTCTGCCTAAAAGTATATCATAGTAAGATGAAAATTTATATATGTAAAATACCTGGTCTTGCCTGAAGAGTTTATAAGGTGCAGTGGATACATATTGGTTTAGTTTTGACAATCCTGTTGCTTAGTTTGTTTAATATAGAATTGGTTGTTCGGAGGGTGTTGTGAAAAA